TGTCTTGGTGGCTTATATTAGAGAAAATGGAGTATAGCACAGGGCTAACTATGATATACACTCATACTCCACCATAAACATGAAACAAAAAAGTTATTTTCTCTCTATAGATTATCACACATAGCAGCATATGTGTAGAGAACCTAGGATAACCCCAAAAAAGTCAACGTGGCTTATTTTTAGTACCTGGCTTGGGTTAGCCATATATGATTTTTGGTAAATATTCTATTCCCAGCCAGGGTAGAAACATTAGGAGTGTTTCTTTACACCTGTTGTCTATATTTACCCATCAGTAAATGGGTACACCTGGGTGTTAGTCGACTAGTGTGGGTGTTATCCTGGGACACTTCTCAGTAGTAGTAACCAGTTACCAGTAACCAGTGTACCAGTAGATGACTCACTACCAACCGTCTCTGCGTGAATCACTGGCTGTATTCATATTGTTGCTGACCTAGCAGGATTTCAAGTGCCTCCTCGCCCATGGGCACTCCTCAGTCAGTCTAGCCAAGGGGCAGAGAGAGGCAGGTTCGGCTGTAGCGCCCTTCCACATACTTCAGTTACAATATACGTACTTCCAGCCTACGTGAGTATTTTTACCCAATCCACGTGTTCGAACCCCACATGATACACTGACCTAATTTTCTTGAAATACTCAGCATAACAAGCGGCTTTCTATACAGTAGTATGTCACTGATGTCAGCTAGGCCTGTATACCTTGTACATGTACGTGTAGTAAATAAAGATATTATTATTATTATTATTATTATTATTATTATTATTATTATATTATTATTTTCTCAGTTGTTTGTTGGGTTATCTTATTCAAACTTGGGAAATGTATGATGGAAAGATACTTCTTCACATACACCAAAAATGAAAGAAATCAGACCATAAATAGCGGAGTTCACTTCTCAGCCATTAGCGGCTGCTTAGCGGTATATTTTTGTATGGTTGTTATGGTTATATTCTCATTTTCTCAGTCTCATTTGATAGAATGAAAGATTTATTACAGAAATAGATATGATTTTGATTGCTTTCATGACAAAAAGTACCTTGAAATTGCGCTCACAGTAGCGAAAATGGTCTATTCTTTAGCGAAGCTCAAGAGTAAACAAATGACGTCACCGTCCAATACCTGTCCGCCTGCCAGTCTAAATTCCAATATGGAGTCAAGAATGGATTGACATTATTTATACAATTATTACAATAATGCAGTAGTCTGCATAACAGTAAATCTTCTATTTTTTTTGAATAAAAATTCCAAATGGTAAGCAAGAGTAATATAAGAGGGGCCTGTAGCCGTGACTAATGAACAGAGAAAATGTTATTTTAGTGCCAGGAATGTCTGCATTGTTTATTCTGGATCCTATTTTGAAATTGGCATCTGTTGAAATTTGTGTGAAATAGGCCAAATTGTCAATTTCTGACCACTTTATTGGGTAGTTGAAATAAGGAATGGGTGGTTTCTTGTACTCAGTTGACAGACTAGAAGTAAATAAGTTAATTCAAGTACAAGGAGGCCTGGTCACAGACCGGGCCGCGGGGGCGTTGACCCCCGGAACTCTCTCCAGGTAAACATGTATATACACAAATACAGTTACGTAGATTATCATACATAGCAGCGTATGTATAGAGAACCTAGGATAACCCAGAAAAGTCAGACAAAGTGACTTATTTCCAGTACCTGGCTTGGGCTTGCCATATATGATTTTTGGTAAATATTTTTTTTTCTCGGTTGTTTGTTGGGCTATCTCATTGAAACTTGGGCAATGTATGATGGAAAGTTGCTTCTTAACGTACAACAAAAATAAAAAAGACAGACGATAAGTAAGGGAGTTCACTTCTCAGCCATTAGCTGCCTCTTTGCAGTATATTTTCGTGTGGTTTTTATGGTTGTATTCTCATTTTTTGGACTCATTTGATAGAATGGAAGATATATTACAGAAATAGACATGATTTTGATTGTTTTCATGACGAAAAGTACCTTGAAATTGAGCTCAAAGTAGCAGAAATGTTCGATTTTTGCCGATGTTCAGTGAACTGTGCAAGTCAAGTTGGTTAATTTTATTAAGTGTATTCTAACCTAACCACTCTGTAATTCGGCAAACTCAGTAATCCGCCACACTACAGGTCCCAATGATGCCGGATTTGTGATGGAGGACCTGTATACAAATACCATTCTCCTATCCCTGTATTGGGGGCTTATATTAGAGAAAACGGAGTATAGCACAGGGCTAACTGTGATATACACTCGTACTGCACCATAAACATGAAACAAAAAAGTTATTTTCTCTCTATTGATTATCACACATAGCAGCATATGTGTAGAGAACCTAGGATAACCCAAAAAAAGTCAACGTGGCTTATTTTTAGTACCTGGCTTGGGTTAGCCATATATGATTTTTGGTAAATATTCTATTCCCAGCCAGGGTAGAAACATTAGGTGTGTTTCTTTACACCTGTTGTCTATATTTACCCATCAGTAAATGGGTACACCTGGGTGTTAGCCGACTAGTGTAGGTGTTATCCTGGGACACTGACCTAATTTTCTTGAAATACTCTGCATAACAAGCAGCTTTCTATACAGTAGTATGTCACTGATGTCAGCTAGGCCTGTACACCTTGTACATGTACGTGTAGTAAATAAAATTATTATTATTATTATTATTATTATTATTATTATTATTATTATTATTTTCTCAGTTGTTTGTTGGGTTATCTTATTCACTCTTGGGCAATGTATGATGGAAAGATACTTCTTCACGTACACCAAAAATGAAAGAAATCAGAACATAAATAGCGGAGTTCACTTCTCAGCCATTAGCGGCCGCTTAGCGGTATATTTTTGTATGGTTGTTATGGTTATATTCTCATTTTTTTGGTCTCATTTGAGAGAATGAAAGATATATTACAGAAATAGATATGAATTTGATTGCTTTCATGACGAAAAGTACCTTGAAATTGCGCTCACAGTAGCAAAAATGTTCTACAGTATTCTTTAGCGAAGCTCAAGAGTAAATAAATGACGTCACCGTCCAGTACCTGTCCGCCTGCCAGTCCAGTACACAGTCAAGAATGGGTTGACATTATTTATACAATTATTACAATAATGCAGTAGTCTGCATAACAGTAAATCTTCTATTTTTTTGTTAATAAAAATTCCAAATGGTAAGCAAGAGTAATATAAGAGGGGCCTGTAGCCGTGACTAATGAACAGAGAAAATGTTATTTTAGTGCCAGGAATGTCTACATTGTTTATTCTGGATCCTATTTTGAAATTGGCATCTGTTGAAATTTGTGTGAAATCGGCCAAATTGCCAATTTCTGACCACTTTATTGGGTAGTTGAAATAAGTGACTGGGTGGTTTCTTGTACTCAGTCGACAGACTAGAAGTAAGTCAATAAGTAAGTTTATTCAGGTATACACAAATACAGTTACATAGATTATCATGCATAGCAGTGTATGTAAAGAGAACCTAGGATAACCCAGAAAAGTCAGACAAAGTGACTTATTTCCAGTACCTGGCTTGGGCTTGCCATATAGTATAATTTTTGGTAAATATTTTTTTTTCTCAGTTGTTTGTTAGGCTATCTCATTGAAACTTGGGCAATGTATGCCTAACCACTCTGAAATCCTGCAAACTCAGTAATCCAGCACAATACAGGTCCCAATGATGCCGGATTTGTGATGGAGGCCATCTTGTTCACGTTCAGTTGTACCAGAATCAAAGAGGAAACTCCTATTTTCCCAAATCCCGGACTCAGATGTGAGTATTGGTGATGACAGTGATAGTGAATATGAACTACAAGCTCTTGAAACCAGTTCCAGTAGTGATAGTGAAGTGGAATATTTTCCAGTGAAGCGTCAGTATATACGATGATATATGCGCTCTGGTAGTGTGTCATATGCTATTCCAAGGGGAAGGAGTACATCTCGGAGTACATCCCGTGGCTGTACAACAGGAACAGACGGCTAAAATGACGATGATAGTGTTACAATTGGGATGGAAAATGTGCATGGTGGTGGTAGTGGTGGTGCCGGCTGTGAGGCACCAGCAGTGGGCCATGCTGCCACCGATGCCGCTGCCTCAGCTGATCTACAACAAAGGTCACCATCCCCCACCCACCCACCCACCACACCACCCCCCACAACCACAACCACCTTCAATTCCAGTACCCACCACCCAGGCTTGCTGGGATTGGCAGGAAGCTGTCAATTTTGTTCCAAATCCCCACCAGTTTGATGAAAGCCAAAGTGGAATACGGCCATGTTGTATACTGGGGAACAATGCCAGTGAACTGGAATGTTTCGAGTTATTCTTTGACGAACCCCTGATGGAAATTATTGTCAGGGAAAGCAACAGATACTACGAGTACACAATGGCAAACACAGTACTTTCACCAAAATCACGTCTACACAAGTGGAAGGAGACAGCTGTGGCTGAGATGCATCTTTTCTTTGCCACAATAATGCTTATGCCACATGTGTATAAGCACAGTGTGAAATCATACTTGTCAACAGACCGCCTGGTTGCAACCCCAGGTTTCAGTGATATAATGGGAGTGAATCGATTTGTGCTACTATTATGTGTGCTTCACTTCTCAGACAAAACCAGGCCTGACAGAAACGACAGGTTATATAAGATTAGGAAGTGTTTATGTATCTGAAAGAGAAATTCAATATGTATTTTTATCCCTTCAGGAAGCTTGTAATTGACGAGTCTTTGATTCTGTTCAAAGGAAGACTCTTTCAAGCAGTACATACCAAGCATGAGGAAACGCCCTTGGGATAAAGTTGTTTTTGCATTGTGATTGTTCAGTGGTCTGGTATTGGATATTATTGTGTACACTGGAATTATACATTGCAAAATACCAGGAAGTTATTGGGCATCTCTGGTGATGTGGTTAAACAATGAAGAACCATACCTTGGTAAGGGGCATATATTATATACCGATAAGGTACACAAGCCCCTCGCTCCAAAGATTTTTTTTCGAGGGAACATGACAGGTGTGTGTGGCACAGTGCATGCAAATCGTAAACATATGCCCAGGTTTGACGCTGGCACTCGTAGAGGTGAGGTGCAGGCATTTGCTGCCAATGACATCATGGCATTTTGGTGGCATGACAAACGAGATGTCACACTGTTGTCATCAGTTCACCCTAACGAAATGACACACTGGCAGGCAGCATAGAGACAGCAATGAACCCATTCTAAAACCTGCAGCTGTTATTGATTACACCCTCAATATGTGCTCAGTGGACAAATGTGACATTCAGATTGGGTTTGCTGATTGTGTTTGCAAGAGTTATAAGTGGTACATAAAACTCTTTTTTCCATCTTCTGGACATTTCCTTGCTCAATGCTTATAATATGTATAAGATGAGGACCAGAAACAAACCACCATATGGTGAATTCTGTTTGTCTGTCATCAGACAAATAGTATTCAAATACCAAGGAACAACACCTGCAATAGACCGCCCACTAAATTTTCAACAACTACCTTCTCGCCTGAAGCGTGTTGATCACTTCCTAGTAAAACTGCCTGCTACTTCTTTCAAGAAAAAGGCTCAGAAGAGGTGTTACGTCTGTGCACATACAAAAAAACGCCTACAACAACGCAGAGGCACTCGTTTTGTGTGTGAGGAGTGTAAAACACCACTGTGCATGACACCATGTTTCAAAGACTTCCACAGGCTGCAGAACTTCTAGAAACATTCCCTGTGACTGTATATGTGTATATAAAATATAGAAAAATAGTAATAAACAACATTTCATATCGTTTGTGTAAATATTTTTTGTAAACAAAACAGTGATAAGTGTTTATGCAGTTATTGTGTAGTAAATAAAGAGAAAAACCTTACAAAATAGTACTCATATTGGTCTCACAGGCCATGAAAGTTACATGGAAAAAAAAAATTAAAAAAAACAGAAAATAGTACCTAAAAAACTAAAGTAATACCGTGTGATGGCAGTCGGCGATGTTACCATATACCAGGGAATTTTCTGTCAACTTCACGCCTCCATATCTCGGTAAGTATTGATGGTAAAAATTTTTTGTTTAGCCTATAATGTTTAGAAAAAAAAAAAACTGAGAACAAGTCTCTGAGAGGGCCTGGTGACCCTGAAAGGGTTAATGTTGAAGTCTCCTTTTAGCAGCAGGTGGTCTTTATTCATATGTGAATCAGTTATCAAGTTTCCTAATTTTTCACTGAAGTGGTAAATGTTTGATTGTGATACTCTGTAGATGTTTATAACTGTGAGGGGTTTTTGCAGGTCTTTTGATTTAAATTTAGCTATGATATATTCACCATGCTCATCCCTTGTGCAAGATTTATAGATACATTCAAGTTGATTTGAGTAGTATATGGCTGTTCCACCCCCTAGCTGGTCTGTCCTACGGTTGTGTATGGCTGTGTAACCAGGAATGGCATAGACATCTGTAATACCAGGTTTTAGCCAGGTTTCTGTGAGTGTGATGATTGACAGACTGGAATGAAGGGAATTGAGTAAAGCTGTGAGGTCATCATAATGTTTGCTCAAGGATCTGACATTGTAATTAAAGATAGTTATGTTATTGCTTGCTCTGAGTAATGTCTGCTTGGTCTACTGTATAATAATTACAGTTGTTGTTTGATTCTTGTAATTCATTTAAGAAAAAGTTTACATCAGGATCAATGCCTGTATTCATAAGAATGAGAGTGACTCTACAACTGTATTTTTTAATAAGATATTATGTTATTAAGAATTATGATACTTAACTACTTTATCTTACTGGCTAATGGATTGTTACAAATGGGAGGTTGGTATCAAGATCAGTGCTTGTCATCAAAGATTTATAGTGAATCTATAACTAGACTTAGGAATAAAACTATGTAGATTTTCTAAAACTAGGGAAAATTATAGGAAAACAATGAAATTATACACTTAAAACAAATAAAACTCGCCTCTCGCCCTACATTAACCCTTAAATGGTCCAAACGTATATATACGTTTTTTCAACATCTGAAAGTATGTAAAAAAATGTAGATCTTTTTTGTTGTTATACATGTGAAAACGTGTAAAAAAAACTTTTATCTACATTTTTTTTGTTATATTTGAAAATATGCAAAAAAAAAAGTAGATCTACTTTTGTAGCACTATGAATTTGAACGTTGATCTGTTTGGTAAGTAATGGGTGTACTGTGTGTGTATTTTACTTTTTATTGTGTTTAACCCTTTCAGGGTCCCCAGCCCTCTCCCAGACTTGTTCTCAGGGTCGCCCAAATTTAAAAAAAAAATTATTTTTTCTTATGAAAAGATAGAGAATCTTTTCCCGATCATAATGACACCAAAAGTATGAAATTTGATGGAAAACTTACGGAATTAAGCTTTCGCGAAGTTAGCGGTCTCCACGATGTTTAAGCATCGGCGATTTTGCCCAATTTGAGCCCTATTTTCGGCCAATTCCAGTGTACTAGTCGACAAAATTCATAATTATTTCACTAGAACTCCAGTTTCTCTATCGAATGAGTACAAGAAACCACCCATTTACCGATTTCAACTATCCAATACAGTGGTCAGAATTTAGCAATTTTGCTAATTTCACACAAATTTCAAAAGATGCCAATTTCCAAATAGGGTTCAGAATAAACAAGAAAGACATTCCTGGCACTAAAATAACATTTCCTCTGTTCATTAGTCCCACCCCACACCCCTCTTACATTCTTTTGCTTTCCACTTTGAATTTTTATTCTCACAAAAAATAGAAGATTTACTGTTATGCAGACTATTGCATTAGTGTAGAAATGGTATAAATAATATCGGCGCACTTGTGAAAGAATATTAGACTTACCAGTTGACGTGTATTGGACGCTTAGCATGATTTGTTTACTTTTGAACTTTGGTAAAAATCGAACATTTCTGCTACTTTGAGCTCAATTTCAAGGTACTTTTCATTGTAAAACCAGTCAACATCATCTCAATTTCTGTAATATGTCTTCCGTTCTATAAAATGAGACCAGGAAAACTAGAATACAACAATAAATACCATATGAAAATACAGTGCAAAGTCGCTGTTTTAATCCAAAAACATGGTCAAAGTTTTTTTTTTCTCATTACGCATTGTGTGCTGCAGGATTTTTTTATACTGCGCACACTGACCACATAGACCCATTCTTTCATATGTAGGCCTACCAGCTTTTTCTCACTAGATTTGAGGGCGCTAGAATTTAGGAGTACTAGTACGTCAATAACCCTGGTGCGTAAGCCGTACTAGTACGTCCGAAACTCTGAAAGGGTTAATGCCTAGTTCTGTTGCTAACATAATGTATGTTAGTGTAAACTTGTTACCTGGCATTTATATGCATTTATTAGTGGGAAGAAATGGCGTTCTGCTTTCCGGCAGTAGCCTGGAACCTAACTTACTGTATAAATGGGCCCCCTGCTGTATTGGAATTTCATGTTTTAAAATTTTTAATATTAGTGAGATAATTTAGTTATTTGTTATACATGTACATATAAAAAAATTCTGCATTTGTATAAAAAATATAACTTTTAATTAATGCAGTTAAATTTGTTAATAATTAATGTTAGTCAGAAAATTTTTCTTCTCTTCTACAATTACAGATAAAAATGGCTGAATTTAGGACACCCATAAGCAAGAAGATCATAAGTCTACAGAACAACCCTGACACTGGTACTCCAAGGATCCTCATACCACCATCACCATATATGAAGCAATTGGGATATGGAACAGGTAATTACCTATTTATAGTTACAAATATTTAACTTTCTTCTTTCTTTCAACATACTGGCCATATCCCACCAAGGCAGGGTGGCCCAAAAAGAAAAACGAAAGTTTCTCTTTTTAAATTTAATAATTTATACAGGAAAAGGGGTTACTAGCTTCTTGCTTCCGGCATTTTAGTCGCCTCTTATGACACGCATGGCTTACAGAGGAATAATTCTGCTCCACTTCCCCGTGGAGATAAGAGGAAATAAACAAAAACTAGTAAGAAAATAGAAGAAAGCACAGAGGGGTGTGTGTATATATGCTTGTACATGTATGTGTAGTGTGACCTAAGTGTAAGTAGAAGTAGCCAGACTGTACCTGAAACCTTGCATGTTTATGAGACAGAGAAAAGGCACCAACAATCCTACCATTGTGTAAAACAATTAAAGACTTCTATTTCACACTCACTTGGCAGGACGGTAGTACCTCCCTGGGCAGTGCTGTCTACCAACCTACTACCTAGGACAAATATTTAACGTGTTCATCATATAAGCTTTCAAAATTTTCATTGGTTGTAAGTCTCCACCTCCTGCAATTCATTCCATTCTTCTACCATTATTTGTAAAGAAAAGTTTCCTATTAGCCCTTTAGGTCTGTTTTCTTAATTTGTAATTGTGACTTCCTTTAATCGTAGTTGAAGGTACAGTACTAAAAATAAAAAAAGAAATGCTTTTATATTCTTTTCTAAACATAGGTACATGTTTGGTAAGTTTATATCAACATCAAATACAGTATTGAGTTAACAAAACCATAGCTGCTTGGTAGAAACTTGACAAAGGACAGCTAGTAAACATCTTTATTAATGTGAATATGATAATGGTATACAATACCAACAAATTGATAAATAAGACGTGTGCAACAGTTAGGTATATTTATTCAGAAACATTCTGCCTACACAGTAGGCTTCTTTGTATTTGACTGAAAAAGCCTACTGTGTAGGTGAAATATTTCGGAATAAAGATACCTAACTGTTGCACACATGCCTTACTTATTGTCTCGCTTAATATTGAAACTGAACATAAAAACTGGAAAATGAGAAGTAATAGATAGTAGGTTCGTAGACACCAACCATCCAGGGAGGTACTACCATCCAGAGAGGTTCTACCATCCAGAGAGGTTCTACCATCCAGAGAGGTTCTACCATCCAGAGAGGTACTACCATCCAGAGAGCTTCTACAATCCAGAGAGGTACTACCATCCAGAGAGGTTCTACCATCCAGAGAGGTACTACCACCCAGAGAGGTTCTACCATACAGAAGTACTGCCATCCAGAGAGGTTCTATCATCCAGAGAAGTTCTACCATCCATAGAGGTACTACAATCCAGAGAGGTTGTACCATCCAGAGAGGTTGTACCATCCAGAGAGGTACTACCATCCAGAGAGGTACTACCATCCAGAGAGGTTGTACCATCCAGAGAGGTTCTACCATCTAGAAAGGTTCTACCATCCAGAGAGGTACTACCATCCAGAAAGGTTTTACCATCCACAGAGGTACTACCATCCAGAGAGGTGCTACCATCCAGAGAGGTTCTACCATCCAGAGAGGTTTTACCATCCAGAGAGGTTTTACCATCCAGAGAGGTTTTACCATCCAGAGAGGTTTTACCATCCAGAGAGGTTCTACCATCCAGAGAGGTTCTACCATCCAGAGAGGTTCTACCATCCAGAGAGGTACTACCATCCAGGGAGGTTCTACCATCCAGAGAGGTACTACCATCCACAGAGGTACTACCATCCACAGAGTTGCTACCATCCATAGAGGTTCTGCCATCCACCGAGGTTCTACCATCCACAGAGGTACTACCATCCACAGAGGTACTACCATCCACAGAGGTACTACCATTCACAGAGGTACTACCATCTACAGAGGTTCTACCATGCACAGAGGTTCAACCATCCAGGGAGGTACTACCATCCAGGGAGATACTAGCATCCAGGGAGATACTAGCATCCAGGGAGATACTAGCATCCAGGGAGGTACTAGCATCCAGGAAGGTGCTACCATCCAGGGAGGTGCTACCATCCAGGGAGGTGCTACCATCCAGGGAGGTGCTACCATCCAGGGAGGTACTACCATCCAGGGAGGTACTACCATCCAGGGAGGTACTACCATCCAGGGAGGTACTATCATCCAGGGAGGTTATTACCATCCAGGGAGGTTACTACCATCCAGGGAGGTTACTACCATCCATTGAGGTTCTACCATCCACAGGCTCTACCATCCACAGAGGTAGTACCATCCACAGAGGTAGTACCATCCACAGAGGTAGTACCATCCACAGAGGTAGTACCATCCACAGAGGTAGTACCATCCACAAGGTGTAACCATCCTTTGAGGTAGTACCATCCACAGAGGTAGTACCATCCACAAGAGGGATACCATCCACAGAGGTAGTACCATCCACAGAGGTAGTACCATCCACAGAGGTAGTACCATCCACAGAGGTAGTACCATCCAGGGAGGTACTACCATCCAGGGAGGTACTATCATCCAGGGAGGTTATTACCATCCAGGGAGGTTACTACCATCCAGGGAGGTTACTACCATCCAGGGAGGTTACTACCATCCATTGAGGTTCTACCATCCACAGGCTCTACCATCCACAGAGGTAGTACCATCCACAGAGGTAGTACCATCCACAGAGGTAGTACCATCCACAGAGGTAGTACCATCCACAGAGGTAGTACCATCCACAGAGGTAGTACCATCCACAGAGGTAGTACCATCCACAGAGGTAGTACCATCCACAGAGGTAGTACCATCCACAGAGGTAGTACCATCCACAGAGGTAGTACCATCCACAGAGGTAGTACCATCCACAAGGTAGTACCATCCACAGAGGTAGTACCATCCACAGAGGTAGTACCATCCACAGAGGTAGTACCATCCACAGAGGTAGTACCATCCACAGAGGTAGTACCATCCACAGAGGTAGTACCATCCACAGAGGTAGTACCATCCACAGAGGTAGTACCATCCACAGAGGTAGTACCATCCACAGAGGTACTACCATCCACAGAGGTTCAACCATCCAGGGAGGTGCTGCCATCCAGGGAGGTAATACTAACCAGGGAGGTACTACCATCCAGGGAGGTGCTACCATCCAGGGAGGTGCTACCATCCAGGGAGGTACTACCATCCAGGGAGGTACTACCATCCAGGGAGGTACTACCATCCAGGGAGGTACTACCATCCAGGGAGGTATACCATCCAGGTGTCAGCATAGTTGCTGATCCCCTTACATGTGTTGTATGTATAGATTAGCTGAGTATCATAGTACCATCCATGTGTTTATATAGAAGATCCCTAGGCCTGTGACTGTATGACGTCACGTGATACAGCACGAGTTAGTGGGCCGCTTTACCTCGCTCTCACTCCGCGCTTAGACATCCAGGCAGTAACACGGCAGGCTGGGCCCATCCCTTCCTTACCACAGTCTGACAATATACATAGCATTACCATCCAACCAGTGTGTTTGTCTTCATCATCTTATCTCCTTCCGAACCCCCACGACACAGGGAGATATACCATCCAGGGAGGTGCTACCATCCAGGAAGGTGCTACCATCCAGGGAGGTACTACCATCCAGGGAGGTACTACCATCCAGGGAGGTACTACCATCCAGGGAGGTACTACCATCCAGGGAGGTACTACCATCCAGGGAGGTGCTACCATCCAGGGAGGTGCTACCATCCAGGGAGGTATACCATCCAGGGAGGTGCTACCATCCAGGGAGGTAGACCATCCAGGGAGGTACTACCACCCAGGGAGGTACTACCATCCAGGGAGGTGCTACCATCCAGGGACATACTACCATCCAGACGTACTACCATCCTGTCAAATGAGTGTGAAATGGAACCCTGTTAATTTATTTTATTTTTTTTTTGTTCTTGCAAAATTGCTAATCGTTTGTCCTGTATATAAGATGACATTTAAATCTTACAAGCTTCTACTTGTATTTAGTATTCACATACCTTTACTTTCCTGTATGGTTCTTAAATGTTGTCATATCTCCTTTTTGATTTTGACTTGACTTGGACTTTCGTCCTATCTGCCAATATGGGCATCTTTTTGAGCCTTTTGTCATAGTTCATTTTTAAAGTTTTGGCATCCATTTTATAGTTCTTTGGACTTCCTATATTATCCCCATTATTCTTCAGGGGTGAACACCATGCATCAGCTGCATATTGCACTTTTGGTCTATACATTGTAAATAGCTTTTACAGCATCTCCGTCCATATGCTTGAAAGCTGTTTTATAATGAGGTTTGGCAGAGGGAACAAAATACCCTGATTGAAGAGCAGATGTGCAGTGAGTACGCTAAGAGCACGTTTAATGGACCAAAACTATATAGCACCTTCCATTCATACATAATAAAAACTACCAACTGACCCCTGACTGTCTTCACAAGATAAATACAGTGGACCCTCGTTTTTCATACTTAATCCGTTCCAGAGAGTGTGACTATTATCGAAATTGACAATTTGCGAATCCATTTCCCCCATAAAAAATAATGTAAATCCAATTAATTTGTTCCAGACACCCAGAAGTATCAACAAATTTTTTTTTTTTATCTTAAAGATAGATTTACATGAACAGAAGAATGAACATTCAACATGACCGTTACCTTTATTGAAGGCTATTGTTGATGAATGGAAGACAGGGAGGAGGAGAGAGGGAAGAGAATTTATTGTTTGGAAGGCGAATCCTCCTCCATAAGGACTCGAGGTCACTTCAGGGGTCACTTCCCTAGCTTAAATATAGATTTAGATGTAGAAAAGATTGCCAAGTAAATGTAAATCACTAATAAAATGTATAAATGAACATTTAACATCACACTTACCTTTATTGAAGACTTGTTGGTGTATGGCAGACGGGGCAGAGGGAGGAAGGCGAGTTTATTGTTGGAGAATATGATGCTAATATCAACTCTACGGCTTATTTAACCATCACAATTCAACT